GCCCCAGATTTCCTAAATCCACCCCTGGATGGAGTATGTGGAATCTGGGGTTAACCGTCTCGTTAACTCTACAACGTTTTCCCCCAAAGCGCCGCAGCAGAGGGGAAACAGACACCCCACCTCTAAAATCCTTTTCTCCTGATTTTATCTACTAGTTTAATCAGATATTTATGTTTTACCAGCAACGTGAATGCTCTGTCCCGTCCCAAAGCTGGCTCTCCTCTCCTCGCCGACCTCCTCGTCGCTGTCGTTGAAGTCGTCCAGGTTGCCGATGTCACTCTGCTTCATGCTCATTAAGCTGGCCAAGCTCTGCATGTCCTCGTCCCTGTGAGGGAAAAGAGCAAACCTTTAGACGCCGGACCTACGGAGCCGATTAAGCTGAGCTTTGGACCGGACTTACGTAGCTTTGCCCTCCTTGAGAAAAATGCAGGACATGTTGAGCACCAGCGTGGCTTCCACCACTTTCACAGAGAGCGGTTTGAGCTTCAGCGTGATGTCGTACTGAGCCGGCGTGCTGCTGGCGTACTTCTTCATGTTAACATCAGCTGATGCTAAAACCTTTCTGCGGCCTTTTGTCTCCTGGAAATAAAAATCTCATTAAGTTTTCCAACAATTTCCTTCTTGATTGAGATAAACTGAAGGCTGAAGGAAGTCAGCCCCTCCCACAGCCTCCATCAGGAGGAAGATGGCTTCGGGATGGAACGAATTAACTGTTGATTATAGATTAATAACGTCAGCCCGTCTGCAACAGGCTAACTCTTCAACCGCAGACGAGTAGCAGAGGAACATGAAGCTCACTAGAGTGAAACGCGCTGCCTTGGATATTTGGGCAATTTAGTGCTGAAAGCCTTAAAAAGAAAAGGAGACGACGTATTTGGACAAAGACATGGCTGAGCTAACGTGGCTACTACGGTCTGTCAGTTTTAATAGTTTATTATGTTGTTTAAGCTGTGGTTGAGGGGTGCAAACGTACTGCATATATAAATCTGCTCCAAATACAAAAAATTTTAAATTAAACAAATGAAAGGCACAGGAAAAAAACAGCAGGAAAGTGCAAACGCGCTGCACGGACGTAAATGATGCTAAAACACAAAAACGCATGGAAAGGAGAAACGCTGCAAGTAGCAAAAGCAACCAAAAGTTTTAGTGTTTGGTTTGATTTGTCAATAAAGGCTTCATTTTTCAGATCTGTGTCGTTTTATCATTTAATTGGAGAAGAAAAAAGCAATTCTGGCTTTAAGTGAT